AAAAAAATCATTAGGTTGTTTTTTAACTAATTACGTCGAGTATTTCCTAGCCAGCCAGGTATGTGCGCATCAATATTTTAATATGTTCCTTTCCATTTTACTGATGCCAGAATAGCACTCCTTACTTAACGCCCACATTTGCGTCTCACACGTACGCCTCCAATAGATTACACTGATTACCGGAATAATACGAGTTCACGAAGCAGACTTAATTTAATTGTTCAGTTCTTAGCCGCTAATAAGAGAGTACAAAGGTATGTTCGACCTTCTGTCTCGTTTGCGGGTCTATGCTTTGTAAGGAAGCGCAGGTAACAATCTTCTATAATTTGCTGCTCTAATTTTCGCTTAAGCGACTGGATTTGGAAGGATATTACTAGTACGGGGTTAGTATGGAGCAAAGAGCACTTTGTTTAGGTAGTATTGATCCTTAAATATTTAGAAGCATAGAACAATTAAGGTACGCGTGATCTCGTTGTATCTGTAAAAGAAAATACTGCTTAAAGTAAATGCTTTAGGAGATAAAACTGACATAATATTTTTATTAATAATAATTCTTCAATTGTCCAGTGAGTGATCTCTTCGTGTAAGGGGTTAGCACTTCTAGTTAGAATTTCAGATATCCGGATCTTCTGTTGTTCAAGATGTTTCCTGCTTCAAACAACTTCATGATCGTAATAAAGAATTTCATAACATAAACAAATTAAATGCAGTCGAAACCGATTAAAACGAAATTCAAGACACCGGAAGATTGGTTCGCTATAATCAATCGCAAACAAAAATGGGTCAACTATAAAAAAGGGTCAAAATTAAATGATGAATCACCCCCTCAAAAAAAAGAAAACTGATTAAAATTGTTGAATCTACAAAAAGAAGTGAATAATAAATCTGATGTAAAAATTATATTAAGATTTCATTGCAATTATTATTACCGGTAGTTATGAAATTTGTTAGAGGTACTTTTCCACATTCAATACGCAGTAACAATTTTACACGATAAAATACTTAGGATAAATATCTCTGCTTTGATTCCTCTTTTCAATTAACCCATTTACATATATCAATAATTACTTTATATAGAATAATATAAAAGCATAAAAATATTCATGAATTTACCTTTAGATTTTATGTTACTTCTAAGGACAAAAATAATCTTTAATTTTCTGCTGGCGTGAAGGAGAGAACAGTAGTATGTCTCAAAGCAAGGGTGGTTTTAAAGCAAGGGTTTAATAATAACCCTTATAAAGAATATCACATGTCTTGCAAATGTACTAAAAATGTAAAACTCTTATGCAAAGAACTTAATTTGTAGAACATTTTTGTTCAAACAAAACAAACTATAAACATCAAAATTTCATTCCTTAAAACACGAACCAGCTGTACCGCTCCGCAACTCGTATTTTCACCACTTCCTCCTTCCCTTATCAGCAAAAATTTCAAAATTTCCATCATAGTATCTGATTTGAATAGAGTTCTCTCTGACAGCTCAGTCTGAGAATTTGAATGGAATCAGAGAACTTATTCATGCTATAGGTATTTTCTTCCTCCTTTCAGCATGCCATCGTTGGATAATTGTAAGTATACTCGAAGCGTATTTGAGAGGTCCAGGATTCGGCGAGTCCCGGGGAGGAACAAGTTTCGAAAGTTGGTGGGCGATAATTCATCACTACCAGGATTTGGTGATTGGGTCCCCTCATTAACAGTCGCCCTAAGGGGAAAATATATAAAGTATTTTCTTATTCCTTTCCCCATGCTTTCGTGGTGTAACTGAAAGCACACTTGACGTGTATTCAGGAGGTCCGGAGTCCCAGTCCGGGCGAGCGCACTGCACATTTTCTTCTTCTGCTGCTTTAAGAAATCTTAATGACTCTAATGACTCTGTTCTTTTATTCAATGGTCCTTTAGACCCTATGCTGTTTTAAGATGAGTTTATTTTGTCCTGGTTCTCCTAGAAATATGTTCATACTCGTCTTACAGATCCTTTGTTTAGAATACAGAAAAAGGTGGCGGTGAAGATAAAAGAAAAGTAAGTAAAAATAATGTCTTTTATGGAAGGAAAGCTAACACTAATATCCTAAAAAATGTATGGGTGAATTTAAGTGTTAGTAAATGCTTCATTTAAACTTACAGAAATTCTGGAAAATATGAAAACACCAAAATGTTTAAGTTGAAGATATCCATAAAATTCGCTACATCTGATTTTCATAACACTGGAGGTTCACTATAGTGGTATAAAATAATATGAAATGTACAGGAATTTTAACAGGATCAAAAGGTTCGTTCGTTATAAACGTGATTTGTTATAGCGCAGTTAGACTGTAACTATAAATCCTAACACCTAACGTATAATAACTGGTAGCAGTTTCTCATATGTGGTGAGCTCATATCCAGTTTCAAAGTTAAAGTAGGAGCTCTTGCGATAGTAGTTGTATGATAGTAACTACTGTGGAAGTCTAACATCACGCTTCCACTTTATGTTTATTTGAGTCCTAGGAGAAAAAGTGAAAGCAAAATATCCTGGCAGTGTCGCTAGGCATTTAAAATATGATTTTGATCATAAATTGTAACTCTTTAATACTTTTCAAATGCTTCATAAAATTATTCAACTAGTACGATTCCCAGTACGAACCAGTACAACTCTGAATTCACTGCATATTTCATATTCACTGCATACATACATATATATTTAAAACTTATTACAGTTCAGTTGACGATGAATAGGAACACTTAGTATTTTCAGTGTAGTCACTTAGTATTTTAGTAGGTACCGTTTTACTTCCATCATTAACTAGATTTATTTAATTAAAAATAATAATGACCAAATTATTTACATTTTTCATTTTACAAAATAATTTAAATGCATAAATTGTGAAACATATTTACTTAAAAGAGGAGTAAAAACCTAAAATTTAAAAAGAAATGCAATTCCAATTAAAAAGAAAGTTTATAAAAACTTCAGCATGATGTTCGAAAAGACCTACAGATATAAAAACATACAAATTCTACCATACAGAAGTTTCCAGATTAATTATCGTCTACAGAAATCTATTAGGCTCAAGGGCGGTCGAATGGTGAAGTCGATGAAGACTGCTAGCTTAACCCGGGGAACAATTTAGCTCCTAAGCATTTTGCCGTTTTCCCCAAGTTCAGTAGACAGACGAGACCTTTTCCAAGACCAAACCTTTATCCGACCAAACCTTTTTCCGTCGCTCGAGATAATGACGTAGCTTTTCGATCGGTTCAGTGACGTCACTTTAATTGTGGGATAAACCTTATTTTAAAGACAAGACGACAACGTCAGTACGCTGGTGGACGTTTTTCGAGATAACATAAGGTTTTTCTCATGAGTAGCGTGGACAGGAGCCATTTACCGTAAGAAAGTTTTCCTCTTGGGCTTCTTGAGCTCCCTGTATAATTTTAACTTGTAAAAAAAATCTGGAATGTTTCAGATTTTAAATTACGTCCAAAGGGGCGTTTTTTAACGTTTTGTGTGTTACCTTCATTTATTAAATATCATGTTCTTGCACTTAAATCATAAAATTTAGTTCAATAGCAATGTTGCAAAATAATTTTAAAATGAGCATATCTTTAGAATTTCCGATACACAGTTTGACGCGTTGGAAATAAAAATATTTTTACCCCCCGTAGAGTGTTGCCATTGCTCGCCTTTAAATCGTTGAGTTTGTTACTCAAAAATTCGTTAAAGTTTTACAAAATATGAAATCGATAATAAAACAAATTCCAAATTTCAAATTTGGGATTTCAGATGTCCATATTCGCAGTAGGATTACGTCATTCAAAATTGGATGGCTCTAGATACAGGCGTTTTATCACAATGTGAGAAATATACATACATGCAGATTTTTCATTATTTAATTTCAAATATAATGCAGGACTCTAACATTTTGTGGCACCAGTTTGAAAAGTGAACCGACATTTATAGGAGTCCGACGCAAAATGCCAGAACGAAAGTAATAGTCCTTCGAGACTCAAATCCCTTTGGACTAATTGTTTATTTATTTTTGTATATAGTCTTTCTAATTGTGAGAAAAATGCACTTTAATGATTTTACGCACTGAATTTTTGTAAAAATGCACACTATTCCTGAAACGTGGACCAGCATCTCTCCAACCTACCAGATGCCTCTGCAGCCTCACGTGACAAAGTAGTCACGCCCTCTTTCACCTTGCATCTCGTCCTCCGGTCACACTCATGCACTTCCTATACTCGTGTCTTTTGTAATTCAAGACAGCCAGTATACAGCTTGCTATCTGCAAGCTACACACGGCAATAGTAGAAAAAGGAAAGGAAAATTAAACCAGATTAAGGAAACATAGATAGATGTGAGTACAAATAAATAAGTAGATAAGATGCATATATAGATTAAATATCTGTAATTTTTATAGTAACTGTTTTAAATTATTTTGAAACGAAAAACGAAATCGGGTTACGTTGCGTAAATTAACATCATACACTGATTAATATAGCTCACATTGTTTAAAAAAAATATTTAGATTTCAAAACACAACACGAGAATCTGGCTGCGTCTACCAAAATTTAAATTAAAGTTTCGTTTACAAAGCTTCAGTAACTAACTGTCATTTATAGTGCACCAAGGGGAATATCAGTTGCAGCAAGCCGGATAGCTGAAGCAGGAAGCTATCTTTTTTAATTATAGGTCACGTTTAAGTAGCAGAGTTTTTAAAATTTAATTCCGTTCACGTAATTCATACTTAAAGAGCTTTTAGTGTTGATAAACCTTGAGTTACGGAAAACAACAACAGGGAAAGACAAAAACTAAAAGCTAACTGTTAGAAAATTAACATAATTGTCACAGTATGCCATTTGAAAGATGGTACTAAATGGATTGCTTATAATAAGAAGAAGTAAAGCGGGTTATGGTTTTGGTTTATTTCATTACGGAAAAGCACGCAACAGCTACTTGCCTAGGGGTAGGAGTGCCTTTATGGAGGTATTTATAAGAGAAATTTGTTCGTATATACCTTACGCATGAAGAAAACCACGAAAATGCCCATGCAGCCAGCCCGTTGGCGTAGAATCGAACCTAGGTCCAGTGTTCTGCGAGTCTACAGCTCAACCGCTGATGGGCTAAAGTGGGTTATGAGTATAGGTAATTAGTGATTACAAAAATGCTCCTAAATGGAAGGGAAAAGGTAATAAGAAAAAGAAAGCAAAAAAAGCAAATGAACAAATGTTAAAAATATAATAAATTTGACAAGGAGTATCAGTAATAAATGAAACGCCCGTCTTTGAAACACTCCATGCATTAGGCCCGAAAATTGTGTGCAGAAATCTAACATGCAGAATAGCGACTGTGAATGATTCGAGGCAGAAGTAAGATTATTCCAGTAACTGATGATACAATTGGGAATATGAGCATTCGTATAAGACCATATGCTATTTTGAATTATCTGGCAATATTCGACTCCGTTTCAGGTAGCGAGATTCGTGGTATAATAACAATTCCGGGTTTTCGTTAACAGCATTTGTATTTTTCTTTGTATGAAAGACGACAAAATACCACCTTAAGATGATGCTAATTGTTACATAAACCAAGTGTTAGATAAGTACGAGTCCTTTTCGTATGGTCGTGGTTCGTGTTTTGAAATGAAGTCATATTTGATGATGTTTAATGTTGTAGTAAAAATTGTGAGCAGTTTTGAAAATTTAGTTTTTGATGGTTTCGATTTTTAAATCGGTATTTAGTATAAATCGGTAGGTATATTTTATAAACCCAGGGGCACTGGCTATTTCGCTAAGGACTTTATTTCGCAAAATCTAAATTTTATAGATGCTTGTTTATGTTGCATGTCCTCATAAGGGGGAGGCGTTAAGTAAGGTTGGACGTATTATTGTTTTGTATAATATAATTTTATAATGAAGAGAAAGACATCTAGGTTTCCCAAGAAGTAGTCTTAAATTAGCTATGGAAATTTTACATTTATTTTTGAGTTTGGCAAAATGCCTAAGTAGCACACGACGTTGCAAACTGGTCCGAGAAGTTGCAAAGTGGTCGTGGTAACTTTTACAACGTCTTTACAACGTTGCGAAGACGCAAAATATTTGCCGTTGCATCTTGGTAATTTGTCGACGTCGCTAAAACGTCATGATATGACCGCTTTTAGACATGGTCAAGAGACTAAATCTGCCCTTTCAAGAATCTGAAGTCCGCATAAGATTTGCTTTGCAGTGTTTCATTACTTTATTTCATCTAAATATATTAATCTAAGGTAGATTCATCTAATGAAATGTAAATTTAATATAAATACTTTTGATTTATTAAATTTAATTAGTACTAAAAATACGTGCTAAATAATTGTTTAAAATTTTGTTAAAATAGTTAATACTTAAAATATTTTTTATAAATATTACAGCAAAATATTTAAAAATGAAACTAATCTATAAAGTAAGTTATTAAGTTACGCATTTTATATAACGAAAAAATCATATTTCCGAAATCAATGCAAATCACGTGTTAGAAGCTATTTCACTACTGAAATATGACTTTTTTTATTCACAGCTGTCCAATATATATAGCGGAAGGAGAGTACAGTATTTACTGGGTGCTGAAATATAATGAACATCTCAAGATTTGCGCAATTTGGTTAGCTGCCAAATTCGAACAACTGCGCAATTAATTCAGATTCTAGCAGTTCTTTCAAGTCATTGGGTAAAGATGCCATCTGTAAGGCGTTTGAAAAGATTTACTTCATGTTTGAAGTTGAATCAAACAATGGCTGATGTAAATAATATTGCTTATATTAAAAGTAAATGTAATGCACTGTCAATCAAAAAACCTTGTGAATCTTCTCATTGTTCTGTATCTATTTACTTCAACTGCTTTCAGCGAGTGAAATTATCGTGAGAATGCTGAATTTGTGCTTATTTTGTGCGTGAATCTAGTGTTCTTGAAATAGTGTCTCTGTGGTCTATAGTGGTCTGTGTAATATAGTGTTCGTGAAATAGTGTTTCTGTGGTTCATGAAATAGCGTCTCTGTGGAAGTAGGGTCTGTCTCCAATCTCTGTGGTTCCACGGTGCAATATTTGGATAAACTTAATAGTTTTGTGTTTTGGTTATAGCGTCCTAAGTGGTATATCGCATATCATTCATAGTAATCTATTATTGTGTTCATATTAAAAAGTTGGCTTTCAGAATTAATTCATATAAAACCAAAAATCACATACAGCGGTAAGCCACTTTTTGGTTTTGCTTAAAACGCAATCAATACAGAAGCAACAACAATTCAAGCTGTTATGGTATGTTCATTACTTTCAAAATACAAAGAACTTATTGGACTGGTACCAGTACTTAATATGACTTCTGAAGGGGAATTAGATATATGTACAATATAAGCAATTAATTAATTATTAAAATTAATATTAATGCACATTCTATAGTGTATTGTCTTTTGTACAGTATGCAGAAAAAATTAATGATTTTAAACAGTGTATGAGTGTATGATCGAAAAACTAGCGTTAAGGAAACATAAGCATTTCTGTGAAATATTGTAATCTATAATTATGTGATATTTAGTTGTGTAATATTAAAAAACACTAAATATTTTTTATTGATTGCAAATCGCAGTTTCATTACTTTTCGTTTGGTATTTATTCTTCCAAACACTGTGTAATTCGCGTTTTTTTTTTAAATATTGCCGTTATGTATGTTTATTAGATTATCTCAATAAATGAATGTTGGAAATCAGGTTTTATTTTTTATTAAATTTAAGTATATTCTATTTCCTTCGCTACTTTTTATGTGCTTGTGATAACAGAGAAATTCATAATAAATAGAAACAAAAAGTTTCATCGTGTGCTATTTAACGAAGATCTTACTTTAATGTACTTAGCTTACTATTGTATACTATATTATTTCAATTATTTCTGTACAGTAACAAAAAAGGAACGTTATTGATTATAAAAAGTGCATGAAATAATCATTGTAATCTACCACTGTTCTAAAATATAGAAACTAAAAATATGTAAATACATTAACATATGATCGAAAAATATGGTGTTAAGAATCATCAATCAGCATTACTAGTAAGTACTGCAATCTATAATTATTGCACTTTCAATTGCTTACTAGTTAAAGAACACAATTTTTTTTTATTAATTGGAAATTTTAGTTCCGTTACCATCCTTCTGCTATTTATAATTTCAAACACTACTAGTTCATGTTTATTCTAAAAAGTGCTGTCATGTATGTTGTTTGTTAAGTTATTATTTCATTTTAGATATGAATATGGTAAGTTATTACATTTAGGTATATTTTTTATCACATTTATTCACTACTTTATACTGTCTTTTATTTGCATATCTTGGAGATATAAAAGTTAATGGTTATATTTTTCACTGTGAAACGCGAATAAATTTATTTATACTTGAGTTCAGGTAAAATACCAATTATGTTACCTTAAGAACCGCTTCCTAATTTATCATGACAGGGGAAGTTTTCAATGTCTCTGAGATTTAATAGAAATAAATGTGATAATGCTGTTATCAGAAACGTTCTTTTTTTACCCACATATAAACCTTTACTTTTATTTATGTCTAATTGAATTTTATTTACTTAAAACCTACTATTAATGTTATATATTTATAATAACCACTTTTATAATTTCTCTCACTTAAGGAAAAAAATATGAAATCTTAAATAATCGTAACTTAGAATTCAAGTTATTTAAAAAATATAGTTTAAAGTGTGATGTTGCGTGGCCCCAACATGTCCGCAACAGTAGTAGTGACTGTTATGAACTGGAAGTTACACAAACTCGTAAGAAGGGTTTAATCCCTTTTTATTTCACTTTAGAAATTACAGTTGCGTTCACTTGACGCTCACAAGCTACGCCGACCCGGCGGTGTAACAAAAATAGAAAAGTACAACTAAAAATAAATAACAGGATGAATAAATAACGAGGTCACTACCTACGAGGCTCTATAAACGTGACTAACTTAACCGCGTTCTAAAATACAGCTGAGATTCAGCAAACTTTCTGATTAAGAAGTTGAGAGATTCAACTAACTGCCGAAGTAGGCACACAGGCCGAAACGCGCTGTTCTTAAACTTTCTACCAAGCAACCTTCATGCTCGTGATTCAAGAAGCACACCTACAATCTCGTTTCCCTTCTATTTAAACTCAATTACTTCTGCTAAAATTTGAATACTCTGCGCGTTCTACTACGATTTACATACTCTGGCATTGACAATTCCAGGGGAAAGTAAAGGCTTGACAGGAAAGATAGCTTAAACTTAAAATAAATGTTAGTTAAAATAAATATAAACCCTACAAAAGTACTGAAAATAATTAAGGCTATTATTAATTATACATATTTAGTCTAAAGAGAAAAAATTGTATTATCTTCTGTTTTTAAGGAAATGATAAAATATTTAAACTTTAGAAAAATACAAGGAATACAAAAATTTAAAAAGAAGAAGAAATATATTAATTATTAAGCTTATTTTTCTGCATAAATCAATATGTGAAACAAGGACATAATAGCGACATTCTCACAACTGTTGCATAAAGGTGGAACCTTTTATAAAACAAAGACATAATAACGACATTTTCACAACTGTTGCAAAAAGGTGGAATTTTGCGAAAATTTAGGCGTCTTTAAGACGTCTTGCTTTCACAACCGAAATACCACCTGCGAAAGACGCAATAACAACGTCTTTGCGACAAAAACCTCATCTGCAAAGACGTCTTGGTTGTAAAACAGTGGATGTTCGTGGACATCTGGGCGTATTAAAGACGACATATTGCAACTTTTTTGCAACTACATGCGCTACGAGTTTGCAACGTCGTTACGACGTTGCTGTGCTACGTGGGTGAGGTTTCGCCCTAACATACAGGTTTAAATTTGACCCCCCCAACCGGGGTATTGGTTAGCGACGCTATTCTGCCGTACCGAAGGGTCTGGATTCGAATCTCAGATAAGACATAGATGTTTGTAAATGCATAATATCCGTGTGACATGACCAATCTAAATTTACGGCGGACCGAAATTGCTCTCGAAAGATTGATAGTAGAGGAAAAGTGGGAGAACCTCGGAATGGTTGCTCTGGGGTGCTGTTTATCATAATTGGGGAAGGGCGGGACTGAGCACAGTTGTACTCTCACCTGTATGGTACTCAAGGCTCTTGCAACTGCAGGCGAATCTTTGCCATGATGAATTTCATGCGCTTGTTCTAGTGCTACTGTCAGACAAGTGAGATAAGATACAACAACAACAAATTTAAAGGCTAGGTTTTGACGCAATTACGTAATAGCAAATTTACATTAATCGCGTAAGTCATAGGGTTATAATCCGGGAAATTATATTAAAAATAAAAAATGTAAAAACTACTTTTATTATATAGGCAACGCTCATATAATGGTAGCATTTTAACAGCTTGTTTAGCTCTAATGGCATAATGTAACGTAAAGTTATAAATGCTTAAAACGGGAAAACTTAAACTATATATATATTACTAACGTCAAATAGCGATTTAAAACATCTTATTTATTGTTATTAAAAGTATTTACTTTTCTGTATTCATTTGAAGGGAAGTTACGTAACTTCGAAATTAAGAAAAGATATAAAGAATTTTTCTTGCTCCCCACGCACATTCTTCTTCCATTTGTCTTCTATTTATGGAACAAAGACAAATTCATCATGATTGTCTTCTGTAACTGATGAATGTTCTGTCAATCTTCCTGGAATTTGGGACAAGCCTTTTAGTTTCTATCATTTCCCTCACTACCTTCTTT